CGGGCCAGCCCGGGGCTGCGGCCCAGGGTCCCGGGGTCCAGGCGGTAGCTCTCCGAGGCCCGCAGGCTGGAGAAGTCCCTGGCCAGGTCGAGCTGACTGCTGGACTTCTTCTGTGTCAGGGGCAGCCCCTGGCTGCGGGCACTCATAGGCAGGTAGCCGAGGGAGCTACTGGTCACTCCATACGGGAATCCGCTGCCCCCACTGAGTCCGCTCCCTACTGGCCGCTCGAGGCCTCGAGCCTGGCTCTCTGCCTTCTTACCACCCCCGAGGACGTCTGGTCTCAGCAGGGGGCGGCCCCTGTCATAGTCCAGAATGGAGGAAGGGCCATAGGTACTGGGCCGGGCGAGGAAGCTGGCTGGGGGGCCCGGCTTGAAACCCCGCTTCTCCTTCTCTAGGAAGGAGGCAGCCAGGGTGGCGCCGTAGGAGGAGGGGGTGTAGGAGCCATAGCCTGACTTGGCGTAAGGGGTGTCTGTGTAGCGGGCTGAGTCCGTGTAGCGCTTCAGCGTGGAGGAGAGCTGGGACATCCTTCAGGGCTGTGCTCAGTGGGGACCGGGAGCCTCATGGGCTGAAAGACAAGGAAAGGTCATCAGAGGGCCCTGCCGGGGGTCGGCTCCCGACGTTCCTGCTCCCCCATCCTCCACCTCCGGAAGGAACCCTGGATCTCAACCAGGGACCACAGTCCCTTTCCACAAGAGGCTGGCCCGCCGCTGAGCAACATGCCTCTGCACGGTGCACACACATGTGGGCGTGCAGGTCTGCACACACTCAGGCATTCACACTTCAGGGAGAGCACAGAGGGGACTGGCTTTGATGAGCCACCAGGGCAGTCAGTCTCAGCACCTCGTGGCCTCCCTGAGTGCCCCCCTCCAAACGCCAACATGCCAGCAGGAACTGCCCTCTGCAGCCTCCAGCCACACACACAACCCCAGCCCGGTCCCATCGCTCCTCCTTGGCCTCTGCAGAACCTTTGGCGGGAGGCTGCACTGCCCTCGCCCGCTGAGAGAACCTGGACAGTGCAAGAGTCAAGACCATCCCACTCCCATCTGACTCATGGGACGAGTGGGAGTCTTTGGAATTAGACTGTCTGAGCCGGAAAGACCAGAGGATCCTTGGATCAGATTCCTGGTGAGGAAAAGCAGGCCTCTGCGAGGGAGCGGGGTGGGGAGGGGGAGGAGAGTGAGCGGGTGGCCGGGAGGCGGCTTGACCTTGGTCTCCACACTCAGTCCCCAGCCCTTCCCTGACACACCGGCTGCAGTGGCAGGACCCGCCCTCCCCCTGAGCTGAGTCTCCTGCTCTAAGTGGATCAGAGCACCGTGGCCTCCAGGAGTCCCTGCCAGTCCATGCCCAGCTGCTCCTGGTGAGGAGGACGTGCCCCTAGACCCGTGGTTGGCAAACCGCAGCTCGTGAGCCACATGTGGCTCTTTGGCCCCTTGAGTGTGGCTCTTCCACAAAATACCACATGTGGGCGCGCATGTACAGTGTGACTGAAACTTCGTGGCCCATGCGCAGAAGTCAGTATTTTGTGGAAGAGCCACGCTCAAGGGGCCAAAGAGCTGCATGTGGCTCGAGAGCCGCGGTTTGCCGAGCCACAGTTTGCCGACCACTGCCCTAGACTCTAGAGCAGTGGTTTTCAACCTTCTGGCCCTTTAAATACAGTTCCTCATGTTGTGACCCAACCATAAAATTATTTTCGTTGCTACTTCATAACTGTAATGTTGCTACTGTTATGAATCGTCATGTAAATATCTGATATGCAGGATGGTCTTAGGCGACCCCTGTGAAAGGGTCGTTCGACCGCCAAAGAGGTCGCGACCCACAGGTTGAGAACCGCTGCCATAGAGGCTGGCATCCTGCACTGCCGGTGGCACAGGCCATGTTGCCCAGGCGCTCACGCTGGGGAGATCTGGTGAAGGAACACAGACCAGCAGAGCCAGGATGGCAACCCAGGCCTTTCAGGTCTCCAGCCCAGTGCTCTTTCTATATGACGTTGATTCACCCCTCCCATCAAACGTAGGCTCACTCGGGACCCCCAGAGTCCCTTCCTCACCCCCAAAGCGCAGGCTTTATCTGCAGTGGAGCTGGAGGGCACAGAGGCTTTGGAGAGAGCAGCAGGCAGGATCAGGCCCCTTTCCTGAGGGCCATCGGGAGCCCTTGGGGTGGGGGTGGGGGGGAGAGCCACCCAGGACCCTCGGAGTAGTGTGTGCGGGTGCTGGCTGTGACTTGCCCTGTGATGGACTAGCTGGGTGATTTTGCCCTCGTCATTTCACCCCTCCGAGCCCCAACGTTCTCACCGGTAAAGCAAGCATAACATTATTGCCATCATCCCTCCCTCACAGGGCTGTTGTGAGGAGTTAAGTGAGATAATGACACGGGA